GAATGGATTAAATTAAATAAAAATTTTGAAGTATAAATCTGGTTACACTTATGAATTAAAAAATAAAATTAGAGCATAATATCCCAATCTGTTCGTTTGACGGTAATTATATTTTTATTTATTTATTATTATATAAGTAAAATACTAAAGAAAATTTATTGATGCAAATTTAAACATGTTGGACATTTTTGTTACAAAGTTGAAAACCTAACAAAATAGTAGCCGCTATAATTCTCCAAAAAAGCGATTGCAAATTCGTTGTCAGTTATAAAGAAAAGAGCAAGTACTTAACCTGTACAGAGTACAAAACGGACCGTCACCGTCTAAAATTCGGTCACTTAGGAGCTTCGTCGGCGTTAATCTCCGCTTTCCGGCAGAGTATTCAGATCCAAATCAACTCTCTTATGGCTACCTTCTACTTCAACGATCTGAGCATTTTTCTGAAGATATTTCACTGCCACGTTCATCCTCCGTAAGATCGCGAAGAATTCGTTAACCTCCGCCTCCGATGGCGGCGGCGGCTTCGATACTGCGGTGTTCTCCTTCACAGAACTTTCTCTCTCATGCCTGCTCCGATCGACGCCGTTAGCGCCGCCGTTGTCTGTTCTCTTCCGCTTCTTGTGCCGGTCCATCAGTGTAGCCTCGCCGTTGTCGTTAATCTTAATTTTATTCTCTCCTCTCTAGAATAGTCTATGAAGTCTATTCTCCATGGATGGTTGTTGATTAATTATTAATGCATTCCACCGATTCACAAATTTGCTGATGTCAGGAATATGATCTCATGGCATTATCATTTTGATGCTTCAACAATGCGCAACTTGTAAAGTTCACCCACGCACTTCCTTCTGCGCGTCACACAACACCTCCTTTTTGGTAAATTAACTTGGAGAGAATGACAAAATTAGTCCCTTGTGTTTTGATATTGGATCAAAATAGTATGCTTTTAAAGTTTATCAAATGTGAACACTTTTTTATTTTCGTCAAATATTTAGCAAATTGTAATATATCTATATAATAACTATATACACGGATATGCGGAGTGACGGTCAATGCGAAGTTTGGTGATAGTAACAAATACTTTAAATGTCAAAAAAGAGCAAAGGTTTCATGTGAGCGACAATTGCACATATTAGTTGAAAATAAAAATCGAGGGAATCCCTACAAAAAATGTATTTTGTTCATACTCCAAAAGAAAATCAGGAAGTCCGAAGACATCAATGAGAGCTTAGTATGTCTTTTATGTTTAGTATCTTGTCCACTTTGAAAATGGCTCAATTTAGAGGTAAGATTCAACGATTGGAAGAGCAACACATGTTGTGTTGTGTCTAGTATGCCCCCGCACATCGTGTTGGGTTCAAAGTTTGTGTTAGAAGTGATGCATGCACACGTTGTCTGGTTGTCGACCCGTAGTAAGGTTCTTTGTCCCAAAGAACGTGTGTCATTGGCTAAGTATATATATGTATATAGTGGGGACTTTACTTATTATTTTTTAAGAAGTATGTCAAATCAAATATCGACATTTAACGATTAATCGATGGAGTATTTTGTACCTATAATTAAAAAATTATCAAAATACATGTTCAATTGTTTATATTTCTACTCGATTGAACTTTATGCTCCTTTAATTCGGGCTTGTTTTATTATTTTTCAATGGTCGCACTTCTTTTTATTTTTTTATTTTTCTTCAATATTAACAAATGACCGATATTCTCGGGAATAAAATAAAGACAAAGACTCGATGAGTCAACATATTTTATTCAAATAGAAAACATGGTACATCCACGTTATTATTATTATGATTATATTATTCCATTAAAGAAATTAAAGCACCCATCCCACTACGTCTCTTTAATCAACACTTACTGATACATACTTTAAATATTTTTTTTTGAATAAATAATTGACGACTTAAAACGATCGATGTTATAATCAAGGTAAAGTGATAAGAAATTGAGAAGACATTTTGCTGTGTGGAAATTATGCTTCTACACCAAATGAAGTTACTGATTTGAAAATTTGACTTTTGAGGACAAAAATGTTGGGCTAAGCCAAATTTTAGAATCGTTTGATTGGTGGGATAAGAATAATAATTTCGAGAAATTTCATGAGATTATTTTATCTTATCATTTTAGTGTCCAACTCAGTTGACAATTCTTTTTTTTTAGGGACAAGGGGACTATATACCCCAATTATGCGATTTAGATCTGATATACATCCCCGATATATAGGTGAATCACATATGACCTTATCGTTACATAAATGATCCAGATATAAATCGCAAAGTTGGGGATAAGACGGCTGGTTGAAATCAGTTTTAGATCTTCACAATATAAGCCTCATGGTCATGGGCCTAAAGAAACTTCACAAGGCCAAGGCCTTTTACTTCACTCCATAACTGTAAAAAGGAAATGAAGCCCCAGTATTATATCTATATGGAAAAATTACCGAACAGTGGGAAATTAAAAGGGAAAATTAGCAATTAAGTCATAATACCTAATATAATTAGTCAAAATAACAACACTTTAAAATATTTATTTAAAATGGCAGAATGACAATATTTTTATAAAATAATATGTATTCAGATTTTAATATTTTAAATTAATTTAATTTATAGAAAGAGTCCTATATTGAAACAAATTATATACCAATAACCGTTTAAAGTGGAAAAAAAAATTAAACCAATACCATTAACCTTTTTTCATCACCATTCACGTTTCTTCCCCAACTTTCACGTTTCTTTTCCACCTTTCACGTTTCAAGTTTATCTTTCTTCAAGGTGCTAAATTGTTGTTCATCAAGAAATTTTCTTTATTGTTAAACGAAATCTCTTTATTAATTCAAGCAAATTTCTTTATATTTCGCATTGTACATATTACGAATTTTCCGTTAATTTTTTCGATTTTTATGCAAGTTTGTTTACATATTCATGTAAAATTTATATATTTTAGATTTTTAGTAGATTAAACCATTTTTTTTTGAGAAAATAGCAGCGATTTTGAAGATTTTTTTTTTGAGAAAATCGCTTCTAAGGCAGCGATCTTAGCAGCGATTTTTATTTTTTTAATGTATGACAACTTTTGTAAGAAGAAAATCGCTCCTGAAAATCGTACGACAACAACAAAATTTAATATTCTTTTATTATTATTTATGATATATAATTCAATTTTCCTCGTGCTTCAACAATTTTATTGAGTATACTGTTTGTCTTGTTTATCATTTTTATATTATTAATAATTAACAATACGCATGAAAATAATAGCACTAGGCATGAAAAACGCTGCCCCTGCAGCGATGTGTAAGGAAAAAAAAAATTCTGATTTAAAATCGCTGCTGTGGCAGCGATTTTTAATTAATTTTTTTTTCTTTTTTTACAAAATTGCTGCTATTTTAATTTAGTCGGAGGGAAATCGCTTCATCAGAAGCGATTTTGCCCTTTTGGTTTTAAAAAAATTTGATGTGCCCTTTTGAAATTTTTGACAATTTTTTTTACCCTTTTGACTCCAGACTCCTTAAAATTAGACTCATATTGTGTCAATGTGACAATGTGTTGACTTAAAATGGTGAAAAATTCAATATAGTTTAACTAAATTGCTTTAAAAAATGCAACTTCACAAGTAATTACATATATTTAGTTAGAAAGTAAATTGGAATAAACATACCTTAATATATGCATGTCAGTTCAAATATGTTCTTATTAGTCACCGGTTAAATTTTGTGTAAAATAAGGACAATTTTGACTCAATCAAATAATGAGTTAAATAATTATTAAAGAAGAATAAAAATTAATAAAATAAAATTTCGTTTAGAGCTTTTGACATAGAATATCCTTAAATTATACCCCAAACTTAAACTACATTCTTAAATTATCCTTCTTAACAAAAAAAATCCTCCAAATATTTAAAACTTAACAACTTTTATCCCTCTATAAAAATTTGTCAAAATTAGTGAATTCACACAAAAACATATGCAATTCATACTATACTCAAAAAAAATTCTATAATTTATTACATGTTGGAAAAAGCTTTCAAAAATAATTTTTTTATTTTTTGAAACCCTTGGTTGTTGTTAAAAAAAATAATGTTAGAATGGTGTGAGTCTACGAGGAGACATGATCTGCTCTTCCCCTTTACCAACTGAGTGGAGTTGGAGTTTAATTTCATACCATCTTCACTTTGCAAAGTCAAAATGTCATTAGATCAATAATTTTCTGGGACAAATTGATAGTTGAGGTGATCAAGATTTAGCTGATTTTGATCTCTAGTAAACGGGTTTCGTTTTTCATTATTAGAAGTAAAAATCTTCGATCGACACCACTTTTTACAGATTCAGCGAGAAGAAAACATTTCAACTGATAATTCTTTGATATTAAATCAAATGAAAAGTAAATAAAAACAAAATTGCTAATTAAAAGGAAGACAATATAAAACTTTATTGCTAAAAAAATTCACAATATTATTTTAGAAGAATGAACATAAAAGGTTTATTGGGGTGATTTAAGGAGTTTTGTTGAGAGTAGTGTGAATCGTACATGTTTTTGTGAAGAATTTGTTAATTTTTGACAAATTTGAACAAAATGATGAAATTTATCAAATTTTAAATAATTAAAGGATGTTTTCTGTTAAAAATAATAATTTAAGAATGTAATTTAAATCAGGTATAATTTATGCATGTTTTGGGCCAAAAGCTCTTCTGTTTACTTAAATTATATTTTAAACCCCTTTTCATAATATATATATATATATATATAAACTATTGAATTCCACATGAAAAGAACTCAATTTGTAACTTCCACGGTTGGTTTTTATTGTAGAACTCAATTTCTGATCATATTACTTTGTCATGCGGTTCGGTTCGAGAGTAAAAAAATTTATTTTTGATTTTAAATTTAGACATGAAAGTTTATATATCTAAAAATTATACACTTATAAATTATAATAACATATTCCAAAGAAATCAAATGGTATGAAAAGATTATGCATGCGCTGCAAGCATGAAACATGTAATGATAAAATAAATTAAATTTATTAAAGAAAATCACAAAGAGCAAACCGTTTACCGGAGAAATATATATAAAAAAAAGGCTTTAATTAATTAATCTGTGCAGCAGATCAATCTTAAGAATCTACGATAATTAAGGGTGCATTTATGTAATTAACCTATGCTTAAACTGCGTTAATTAGTCTCCGCCGTCCGGCAGAGTGTTGAGGTCCAAATCACTTTTTCTCACGATTCCCCGTTCTCTCTTCTGTCCAACTGCGACACCGTTAGCACCGTCCGGCGATGCGTTAACGTTTTCCGGCCGAATCTGAGCATTTCTCTGGAGATATTTCACCGCCACATGCATCCTCCGTAAGATCGCGAAGAACTCGTCAACCTCCGCCTCTGACGGCGACTCCTCCTCTTTCACAGTAGCTTCTACCTCATCCTTACTCCGATCTCCGGCGCCGATTGCTGTTCTCTTCCTCTTCTTTTCTCCGTCCATAAGTAGCATTCAAGCCGGCTAACTGATTAATTGTCAATACTGCTGCTAGTGCAATTACTTCTCTTTATTCTCTCATTAATATAATATAATGTGTATTCGATCTGTTATGTCAATGCTTTCTGTGTGTATTTTTTCTCCCTGGCTGGTTGCTGCCTACTGCCTACTGCCTACTGCCTACTGCTGAATGAGAATATAAATGCGTCCGTCCGTCCCTCCATTCACAAATTTCATGACGTCAGGTACATGAGGTCATCTTCGGATTCGTATCATTTTGATTTTTTCCACAATGCGCAACGTGTAATGCTAGCCCACGCGCATTACATTTCGTCTAACCCATTTGGATTAATTTAGAAAAAATAGTTTATAAAAAGTAGGGAAAACTGTTTTTAATTTTTAACTTATTTTTTAACTTGTCAAACATTTCCTAACTTATTTGAAGTCATTTTTTACTTATTTTAAGTTATTTTTATATATTGCCAAAAACTTTTAGAAATAAAAAACTAACTTAAAAAATAGGTTTGATCAACTTTTAAGTCCATCTAAATACCCTCTTAGTTTGAGAAGTAAAATACTTTTTACTAAAGTGATTTCGTATTTAGGACTTGAAACTTGAGATAAAATACCTATCACTATCTGCAATTTTTTTTTATGGTTCCACACACTTTCTCAAACTTTACTTTTGGTTGTTTGGCCTCGATTTCAATTTATTTGATATAAAGTTTAGAAAATAAATATGTAATACTTTTAATTATGGTAGTTGTATTAAAATATCATTTAATTTTGTGATTTTAATATGTCACGTGAAAGTTAAAAAATTATCAAATAAAAAGTAGTTATTTTTTAATAGACTACAAATAAAAGTAAGAGATTCTTTGAGATAGATGGAGTATACGTTTTTCACATTAATAACGAAAAGCGTCATAATTGTCTTTAAAATTTTAAACTTTAACAAAACATGGTCGTTATATTTTTAGAAATCTTTTGGTGTGAGATATAAGATATAATAATTATGTTATAAAATATAAAATTATTTTATCCACTTTTAATTGTCATAGTGAGAAAATAAGTTATCTCATATATAAAGTTTCATCCAAAATTAATTATTTTGAGATAATTTATTTCCAACTAAACGAGTCCTTCAATTAATAAAGCACAAAAAATTTATATACACCACATATGTATGGTGGCTTTTTATAGTGCTTGAGTGATTGGCGGAACGACCCAACAAGCATGTCGGCAATTGAAGTTTACGCCCCCTTTATTTGGAGTAGTTCCCATTCTCCGCAATTGAACACACTCTTGTAAAAAAAAAAAAAAAAAATTCCTATGCACGATGTTTCCTTGAAAAGGTTAAACGAAGAAGACTCCATGGAGTCAACATATTTAAATAGAAAAAATCGAACAAGTCACGTTAGTCGAATAATTATTTTTTGAGAAAAATTACGCGGTTAAGTAAATTTATACTACTTAATTACTTATCATACTTATAGTTTGCTATAATTATCACTCGCGACTAACATTATTCATTAATTACATTGGCTGACTTTGAGTTTGTATAATTAGTCACGTTTGTATATGTATAATTCGCCAGAATATACAAATACATATGTATAATATACATTTATCTAACCGATATACATATACAATTCACCTCTCTCCCACTCTCTGCCCTCTCTTGCTCGTCTCTCTCCTCCCTCTCCCAATCTCGCTTGTCATATATACAAATGCATATGCATAATATACAATTATCTAACCGATATACATATACAATTCACCTCTCTCATACTCTCTGCACTCTCTCGCTCGCCTCTCTTCTTCCTCTCCCAATATCGCTCGCCTCTCTCCTCCCTCTCCCAATCTCCTCTCTCCTCCCTCTCCCAATCTCGGTTGTCATATATACAAATGCATATGTATAAAATTATCTAACCGATATACATATACAATTCACCTCTCTCCCATTCTTAATTGCCCTCTTTCGCTCGTCTCTCTCCTCTCTCTCCCAGTCTTGCTTGCCTCTCTCCCCCCTATAACATGTAGCTACGAATTGTAATTGTCAAATATAGCTATGAAGAGTAATTAGTCTATTTTTGAGTTGTTACATGTGAAAGTTCCTCTTATTTAAATTGCCTTCTAACATAAGATATGAATAATTTATACATATCACGTATATATAGAGAGAGAGAGTTACGGTCTAGTTGATAGTATTAATTGTTTGAAATCTTTTCGTTAAAATTATGAGGGTTTGAACTAAATCGGAGAATAGTATACCATATTCAAAGTATTATTTTAATTAATCACCGACAAGAGTGTGATGGAAATGAGAAATGTTCTCCTCTTTCACTTAAAAAAGACTAATGAAAATATAGTCTAGTTTAATAGTGTGTTAAAACTTTCTAGAATCGACTTCTACAACACGTTATTGAATGGTCAGTAAATTTTGAACAAATAAAATATTCAAGTTGGTTGGGTTCATAAGCAATTTTTATCACTGACAGATCAGTAGCATTCTTTCTGTTTTTACATGTGAGAAAAATTCCGTCCGGCTTTTACTTTTGTTTACGATAATATATTCAACATAATTAAACAAATGAGATTATGAAGGATAGGAATAAAATTTAATCAGATTTTACTTTTATCATTGTAAGTACGGGAGAAATTGTTTTTGTTATACCCTTGGTTCAAAAAGTGAAGTACTCAGAAATAGGTTGCATGAAGAAAAAAAAAATGACACTAAAATATTAAGCTACATATATCAAAATGTAGTAACAGATTACGGAAGACATTGAATTTGTTTTTACGGAATTACTAAATACTACTATTAATTAAAGATAATAGGACGTATGAGGCGAGATCCATGCCTCTCCCACCTAAAGTACCATCACACTCAGCTTTCTACTTATCTCCTATTCGAATTCTCAACCTTCATATCTTTCTATCTAGGGTCAGGTTGTATTGAATTGAAGTTGTGTCATGTCATGTCTAATCTCCCCCCCCCCCCCCACCTCCCAAAAAAAAAAAATCATCTTTTGAACGTGAACATTCTTAACTTGTCAGTACTTTATCCTACATACTAGTGCTAGTCTATCCACTATTCTGTAGAACTTGCCGTCAAATTTTGCAATACGTTTTTATCATATAGTACATCGGATGCGAGTTCACATATTGCTCATCCCGTTCTAATACGATGTGCGGCTTTTACTTTTCTTTCTTTCATTAAATTCCGTCCGTCTTTTGCATATATTGGTAGGTATGTTTCGTTATTTTGGTAATTAATTAGTGTGCTGTAAACAATGTGGAAACTCTACTTGTATAAAACAAAGATGTGGAGATGGAATCTGCACCAACCAAGTGACTGACTTTGGAAATTTTGACTTCGTTTGGTTGTTTCTGTATTCAAATCAAAGGTGGAGCAAAAATTTTGACTCGATAATTTTAAATTTTAAAATCACGATTTACTCATTAATTTTTGACAAATTATTATACGTATATTCCATACATGTTTATTATAAATATAAATTTGAGCCAAATTTTTTGAATCTTTTCAAATCCATAAGCAAAATTATTATACGTATATTTCATACATGTTTATTATAAATATAAATTTGAGCCAAAATTTCTGAATCTTATCGACCTCGTAAGCAAAATTATGGCTCCGCTCTTAATTAGAATAGTCCACAAGCAAGGAGCTGACTAGAAGGTGTTTGCAGGGTAGGTAATCCTATAATATTAATGTAAAAGAATAATGTATTAATTAGTTGAATATGACCCATACTTTAGCTTCTTCCAAGGAAATAAGAAAGAAAAAAAAATAGTAAATAGAAGAAAATATAAAATCATTCACTAATGTATTTCTTGACCAAATGACTCTTTGCCTTTTTAAAAAAAAATGTTCAACATGAAAAAATTAAGTACTCCTTGCATTATATATTTTTTTTATTCTTTCTAAAAAAAAAAAAACATGTCAATAACATATTCAGTTTAGTTTCACAAGTCAGGTCTGAAAAGAATAAACTATACATAAACTTTTGCCTTTTTTTTGGGGACGGATAGATTGTTCTCGATAAAAATAGGGTATAACAAAAAGAATGTTAATATATATAATTTTAAAGAGATTATTTTTAACTTAAAAATATCTAAAACTAATTAATTTATTTTAGATTTCAAATTCTTCATTTATTTATTAATTTTGGGACCGAATCAAATGGTCCACAAAATTGAAATAGAGAGAATAATTAAAGTTAAATAAAGAGTATTAAAATTCAAAAAGAATATTTGAAAGTTGAAATAGTACATGGGACGAAGATTTCACTTGGAGAAAAACTCAAAATTTTGTGGTGAAAACCTTTATTCTACTTAAAATACTCCTAAACTAATTACTTCAAGTTCTAATTTTATGTTAAAGTTGAAATCATGAACAACATTAGAAAATAAACTAGACATAGAGTCTGTGTCAGCACGAACCCAATATATGCTACTCTTTCCATTTTAATTTATGTGACACAAATAATGAAATGTAGAGTCCAAATTTTTATTATATATTTCAAATTGTTAGTTATTATGATTTAGGTATATATACGACTATCTAATAAGGGGTTAGAAGTAGGGGTGTACAAGCCAAACCGTAAAGTCAAACCGAATCGACGAACCAAATCAAATCGAAAAAAAATCGATTTGTGGTTTGATTTGGTGGTTGAGAAAAAAATCGACCACTCTTGGTTTGGTTTGGTATTAAAAGAAAAAAAGTTAAACCGAACCCAAACCAAACCGACATAATATATTTGGGTTTCGTCTCGGTAGGTGTATTATTATACATTTTCCCAAAAGAACATTCATTCATTTCTTATATTATGTCGGTTTGGTTTGGATTCGGTTTAACTTTTTTTCTTTTAATACCAAACCATATCAAGAGTGGTCGGTTTTTATTTTATTTTATTTTATTTATAAATAAAAAATATTATTTATAATCTACTTTGTTAATATATTTTTAGTTAGTTTATAGTTTTCAATGTTTATATATTTTATTTCAAATTTGGGATTGTAAAATTTGTAAATATTTTATTTTGTATTAAGATTCGAAGTGACAATTATATTGCTATAGTTTTTCAAATTCAAAGTTAACAATTTACTTT